AATGTGTCTAGGATTGGTTATTCTGGTAAATGTGCAAGGATTGGTTATTCTGGTAAATGTGCCTAAGGATTGGTTATTCTGGTAAATGTGCCTAGGGATTGGTTATTCTGGTAAATGTGCCAGGATTGGTTATTCTGGTAAATGTGCCTAGGATTGGTTATTCTGGTAAATGTGCCTAAGGATTGGTTATTCTGGTAAATGTGTATAGGATTGGTTATTCTGGTAAATGTGCCTAAGGATTGGTTATTCTGGTAAATGTGTATAGGATTGGTTATTCTGGTAAATGTGCCTAAGGATTGGTTATTCTGGTAAATGTGCCTAAGGATTGGTTATTCTAGTAAATGCGTCTAGGATTGGTTATTCTGGTAAATGTGCCTAAGGATTGGTTATTCTGGTAAATGTGCCTAAGGATTGGTTATTCTGGTAAATGTGCCCAAGGATTGGTTATTCTGGTAAATGTGCCTAAGGATTGGTTATTCTGGTAAATGTGTATAGGATTGGTTATTCTGGTAAATGTGCCTAAGGATTGGTTATTCTGGTAAATGTGGTTAGGGATTGGTTATTCTGGTAAATGTGTCTAAGGATTGGTTATTCTGGTAAATGTGTATCATTGTAAATAAAACAATTTGAAGTACAACCTTGCATTTGAAGGGAATGATCATTAAAATTTGATGGCATAAATACTTAAAATTTGGCCATCTTGTCTTTGTCTTGTATGATATGATATATAATTTATGTGTGAATTTTCAGTGTGATTGGTACAGACATTCAGATATCCAAGATACAGGTGTGGATGCATGGACTTTAGGAATATACATTCGAGCAGAAATTAAACACATAGTGTGCCAGACATTTCAAATTACTAGTTTTATCATGGACGCAAGAATTGTTAATTACAACAATACTAGACATACCTCATCTCTGATAACATTACAGGCAAAAACATAGTGAATTACGTAGGTTGAAAAGTACTTGACACTCATGAATTGTGCAAGAAATATGACAGTTGTTAGCATATAGTGAATCAATAATAGCAGTCTATACAATATATGCATGTATTTGTAAACACTAGTCTCACTGTGTGCTTGATGGATCAATATTGTCATGAATTTAGGGAAACAATTACTACATGGTTATATACTAGAAAGCAAATACATATACAGTATATATATTCTATAGCATGTGACAAAATATGAATGGAGTATTGAACAATAACAAACTGTTAGGTTGGAGCCGAGCCGAGCCAAGCTGTTATATCGCTACAAGTATGTGACGTATCGCACACGATTCATGCTCTGACCCTTCATCAGAACAAAAGGGTTTTTACGTCATGTGTACCCAGTCATTTATGCCAACATAAAAGTATCCAATACAGTCAACAACTTTAATATATGTCCACCTAAATGTATGGAATGTCAACAGGGTTTTATGCGTACAAGCCAATGCACAATAAAGTTCATTCTACTTTGTATTATGCTATAAGTAGAAGTATCATTAAAGATGCTCTTCCTACATGACAATGTCATCCTCACAAATGTCATTAAATTATATTATTGAAAATATTAAAGGAGTGACAGCAAATAAACACTTAAAAAGGGTCATAACCTTTAACCACTTGAGATTATCAGCTCTTACGCTATCATCACATTCAGGTGAAACGTCAAAAACAAATTTGCAATTTCAAAATGTTTGAATAGTTGCCCCAAATTATACAAACTTTCAACAACTTTTAAGAACAAAAGCAGGATATATAGAAGCAGCTAGTGTTGTACAATTATAACTAAGTGTATCAAATATCATACTGAGATTATCGGATCACCTGAGTTTTTACATGACAGGTATTTGTCAGATGGCCAAAGAAATCGCATTGAATGGTAACAGAACAAACACTAGTCCAAAACAATCTGGTACAAAACAACATGACACAAATTAATAAGTGTGTGAATTATTAATGTATGTTATTCAGGTAAAGGTCCTTGACAGCAAGTCAACTTTAGTCAAACCTGTACACAGTGTTACTAGCCTATATATGTGTTGAAGGTTAAAAAGACCAAAGAGTTTACAAAGCTTCAGGTTTACCAAAGCAGAGCTGGTCTCGATATTTTATCATGCAAATTGATTTAGCAACAGCATTGCACTATAATCGAATAATGTAAACAGTTATTCATGGACACATTGATGAGTATCAATAAAACTAAAAAACTAAGACAAAGTAAGTATTATGTGTTAAATAAAGAATAAAACTATAGGTACAATTACATGGTCAGATACCAATGACAGTATTACACAAATCGTTTTGCTGTGTATAATTTAGTTTAACAATTAACACAATATTTTACATTTATAAGAATTTTACTGTTCGGATGTATCGAGGAATCATTTCAGTTACCTTAACAGCTTGAAAATACTGGGGCCAGTTTAGAATATCTACCACTACTATGCTACTACTACAAAAGTGTACAAATTAGAATGTATGAATTTAACGATTTGTCAATATAATACTGCAGATCCATGGCATTTATTTTGTATCGGTCTTACAACTTACAAGTAATCAGTTGGTCTCTGCAAGCAATGAGAAATTATGTACATTTGATTCCAAATTAGAAATACATAGAAATGTACAAAATGTTGCAATGAAAGAATTGAAAGTGAGAATCATAATGGCTTTCACAAACAATGCACAGGAACACTCCTCATGTAACATTCGATTTCATTTCTAAAAATGTTGCCAATCTAAGCAACTGTTAATCTTCTTGAGATTGAGCATTTATTTAATGGGAAATGAAATAAGCTTGATACTAGCACAGCAGTACAGCTAATAATGCAGGCATATTGTGCACAATAAATTGTAAACTATATTGTACCATTGGTGCCAATTGAAAGCATGTTAGCACATCCTTGGCACATTGGCAAGCAAGTGAAACAACAGATACCCTTATCACCTCAAAATTAAAAAAATTCTCAAAGCATCCAATTGTATGACACACTGTCTGATTTAAACAATTTGGTCACCAATTATTCTACAGTACGGGCAGGTACTGGGTAAGCAATGTGTAGATATGGTACACTGCATTGTGCAAACACACTTGTTGATTATAACAAGCAGGAGTAGGCAGTACCAGCATTAGTACTGAGTAAACAATAGATATGGTACATTGCCAATACAATGTTGATAAGGATTAATCTCATAAAACGTGTGTGATAATCCAGATACAAGCACCATATAGTGAATTATGTTTAATTTCCATCATCAAATTAAGACCAAAATAAATTGAAGTACAAAAAATGAATAATAAAACCAAAACACTTAACAATTATACCACATTCTACCAAGCTGTAAAATACTTT